GGTGTTCCTTTTCTTTTACCATCCTTATAGAAAAGAACAGCTGAGGGAGACTCAGATGCACGGAGCTTCCCCACATGTGATTTTAGTTGAGGTGAGCTACTTAGGCTCCTCCTGTCCAGCTCCATCAGCCTTGGAGGCCCATGATAGCTAGAGTCTGATGAGGACCTTGAAGAGGAAACATTAACATCTACATGCACTTTACTTTCAGGTTTTTTCTTGAATTTTAGAGTAAGGAACCTCTTAAAGGAAGATTTCTTTTTCTTGGAATACTTATCAGGTGAGTCATTCTCTATCAAAAGTGAAGGGGAACTTTTAGTGATTGGCTTTTTGGTGATGTAGGCAAGTTCAAAAGGAGGTGGTATATCAACAACTGAGGATGGAGTAGATATGCCACAAGATGAAAGATGATTTCTCTGGGAAAAACTCCCTGAGGAACCATTGACACAAGGCAAAGACAAGTTGTCTTCTGTCCTTTTTATTCTACCATCATCCAGTCCACAGCCATCACTTTCTCTGTAAACAGAGGCAGGTATCTCTCTCCCTTCAACAGAGTAAGATCGAGGATATAAAATGAAACGTCTTGACTTGGTTGGTAATGCCCTGTTGGCTTCCATTGGTTTTCCTTCCACTGAAAATAAATTATTGCTTAAATCTTCTGTCCCAGAGCCATTGCGGGAAGATGGTACATCAGTTTCAGGTCCAGTTTCTTCTGGAACTGTTTCTGGGACATAGCCTGGCATTTTCCCAGAGAGCGACCGTGTTCTAGTGACAATGCTTTTACGATCAATGGGCAGCAAGTTGTTTTCACCATCCATGCCTAATTCAGCCCTTTTACTGTGATCAGCTCCTAAATCAGCCTGTCCATCGTGAGCATTTTCATTTTCTGCAGGAAGCACATAAGGGTCATCTAGGGAATCACTGTTAGTTTCTCTTTCCTCTGCTTCTTCAGGCACAATGACCACTTCAGGGACTGCTAGCTTTTCATGCAAGACATGTTTGGTCCCATGTTCTACATTCATTTTGCCATGCTTACAGACTTCTAACTCCTCCTCAAGTGGCACCTGTTGAGGTGGACTTGGGACACTTTTGCTGAGGCTGTTTGCTTCTACCTCATTGTCTTTAAGTTGCAGCTCATCTGACTTAGAGATTTCCACAATACTTTCACTCTGCTCTTCAACAGTCACATCTTTCAGCTCTGGCTCCATCCCTGGACTACTAGGTAGACTATCAGAGATCACACCATCTTCATCCAGAGAGGTCCCTTTTGTTTGAAGATTCTCATCTGAATATTCCATGGGTATTTCCTCACCACCTTCATTCTCACAAGGAGCAATTTGACAGCCATCATCCATAGTCTCTGCATTCACAGTTTCTTCTTCCCCTTTCCTAGAGTCTTTGCTTGCTTCACAGGCTACCTCTGATGTCTTTTCCTCACCTCTCCTCTCAGTGATCTGGCAGCCATCACTGGCATTTCCTGTGTTTGTGTTATTGTGCTCATCTGGGGCTGCTTCCTCCTCTTCAGCTGCTGCTTGCTGGATGGACTCTCCCAAATAATTTGCAGCATTGGTTTCATCTTCACATGGGTCTAAGCCAGGAGCTGTTTCTTCACTGGCCTCACTGGGCAGCATGTCAGGGCTTGCACAGTCATCATTTTCTAACTGCCCTTCCATGTCCAAATCAAGCTCTGCACGCGCACTGTACTCACCATCATGTGCTAGGCACCCATCTCCCTTTTCTAAAATCTCAGGCAGTTCCCTCTCCTCCTGCCCTGCCTTCTTACAACCTGGGATTAATTCATCTGCCAGCAGTGGCATTACAATGGTGTCTTTACAGAAATCACCCATTCGTTCCTCATCTCTATTCAAAATGGTATCACTATCACTGTCAGTCTTATAATCACTATTGTCCTTAACCAGTTCCAGGTTGTTAGAAGTTTCCTCCTTGGTTTTGGTTTCAGTACAATCACCTACAAAATCCTCATCTTCATCTACATTCTTGGAAGCATCATTATCCCCATCAGGGGCATCTGAGGACTCCTCACAAAGTGCTTTGTACTGGTCACAGTCTCTGGTTGACTCTTCAGAGTCTGGTTCCATTGGTTCAGCAAGATCTGAAGTGTTATGGTGCTCATCTTTGGTGACTTCTCGATTACTGGTATCCTCATCATTAGCAATATTATCCTCTTCCTTCTCTACCTCTTCTGGAGTTTCCAAGACTTCATTTTCCACAGAGAAATCTAGGTTCTGATCATGCTCATGTTCCAAGTCATTAGAGTCTTTGCTGGTCAGCTGAGCTCCAGGAACTACAATGTACTCACTATCTGCCTCAGATTCTGGGCAATCAGCATTGCATTGATTTCCTTCATACAGCTCTCCATCAAGACATACCAGTTTCCCATTTGAGCATTTATTTAAGTTATTGTTGGTGTAAACGCTGGATTTGCCCTCAGTGTCAGCTGAGAATTTCGGCTTGGGAGCAATAGGTGGTTTGGGACCCCTAGACATAGAGTTCGGGTTATGAAGAATATCAGCCCTTGGCAGTGAAGGAGAAAATTTGGAGACAGCTACTGGAGAAAGATGACCAACAATCTTTGGTTTTGGTGCTAGTGGTGGCTTGGTGATTTCTGGAGAAAAGAGAGAAAAGCCACATTAGTCATCTTGGTTTCTTATTAAAGCCAGCAGAATATACACTACAGTAGACTTTATCTTATACCAGTGACTTCTAATGCAGAAGTTAAAAATAGCAAGAAGCAATAAAAGACTCAGTACTGAAAAGAGAACTGAAGGAGCAAAGCATCTGCACTGTGCTTCCACGTGGCACTGTCGCTATTCCAGGGAACGTGGTTTAAGGTCAAAACTGAACTGAACTAGATGCAGCCCTAGCACACTTGGGGAGAGAAAGATGCACAGCTACAGAGCCAAGGGTATATCACGCACAGATACCCACAGATGAGTAACACCTCCCATACTCAGAAGTACTAATGACTTTAGAGACCTTTTGATTCTGCCCAAGGAATCTGTTTGCCCTAAGATTAAGTATGGACACTTTGATTCAATGATGCTGAAGTGTTTCACTGCAATGAGGGAAATGTCTTTCAGCCATAGTAGCTGTTCTTATAACACAGTACAAACACTTTGTAGCAATGATTTTAATTTCAATATATAGTTTGCAGAATTTCAGCACTGAACAAAATTAGTTCTACCAACAGATCAAGGATTAACTCAACCCAGCCCAACTAAAGTGAACACTTGGTGCCCAGGCACACAGTCTTCCCATCTGCCATTATCATGGTAACAAAATATGGAATTACATTTTGTTTGTCAGACAACATAATCATGAGGGATAAGGTGGTTTGCTAAAAGCTTGGCTAATAGTTTACATTGATTATGCAGCTGAGCTATAATGCATTGAATGAAATACCTCAACCCAAAACATGAAGAGAGTCACTGGTTTAAACTTAAGTTCAGTTTTCAGTGTACAAATTCTTCAGTCCTTTCCTTAGTCAAAAGATCCTCCATCCTCCTGTAAATACCAGGACACCATGCAGGTACAATCTTCTCTGAACATCAAAATATACTTGAAAAAATTGAATTACCTTGCAAAATAAGGCCAGCCAGGGTCTCTAAATTACTTCTAGTGGAAGTGCTGACACACATGTAGGGGAATTCAAACAGATTGACAATAAGCTAGATTGAAGCTAGATGAATTAAGTCATATATGGCCATTTTACTTACGGTACAGTTTACATGCCACAGCCATTTCCAGCTGTCTTGGTCCTGAAATTAATATTCTTTAAATAACTAAATAAAATGCTGAAAGGCTGCATAAGTAGGCAATAATAGGGATCCGCCCTCATGAGATGAGATGAAATATGTGATGTGAAGAAGCCAGTGCGCCAAATGGTTACAGATGGTAATAAGAGAAGGGTTTTGCTCTTACTAATGTTTCCTAGCCATCTATAGGTAATTACATGGTTAATCAATCAGAAATCTCTAATTCTTTTATAATTTCAATTAACACATTTTACTGGAAGAATGGGAGTGCTCTGTTTTAAGGAAAAGCACAGGACAAACTATTTCGCCATGAGAGAGACAGGAACAATTCTTTGTGCAAAATCTTCATGTCCCATGCACAGGAAATAAGGGAACAGCATCTCAAGAGACACCATCTGGGACATGGTTCCTATGTGAAATCCTATCCTAAATCATGGCATAAGTTTCAGGAGGTGTAGCTACTGTGCTGTTACATTTTGAGTATTTTGGAATACAGAATTTTGACATCTGGAAGTGAAGACAATTAAAATTCAGCTGTGCACCATACTGAGAATAAAGTAATACTAAATGCAAACTGCGTAAAAATGATTGATTGTTCTGATATTTGGTGTCATGGTACTTTTCTTATTGTTATCTTAGTCCCACTGGAGTAATTTGTACTGAACTAATACTGGCCTATTTGTTTGGTTAGACTCTGGGAGATGTAAGAGACTGTTTCTTCTGATCTTCTTAACCTTGTTGAAGTTTCTTCCAATACTCAGAAAGATGCTGACAATTTGGCATTCTGACGTAGTCAGAAAACGGTCTTTCTAGAATTATGAGACACCAGAGAGATTTCATGTAAGTTGAAAACTGAGTCAGTGATCTCAGCTCAGCCCAGGAGTGAAAAGTCTATTCTAATCAGGCACCTTATCACATATACTGATTAAGAATTATTCTGTATCTGGGGTTTTATCCGATCCAGCTTCATGTGTGGGAGGCTTAAAACAACTTGTGGAAAAGGAGAGAGAGAGGACTGCATATTCACCAGTCTTCTGTACTGTACGTAGTGTGTACTCTTGTTTCACAGTATCCACTGCTGCTTTGAGCTGCAGAGCATCTGTCTAATTATTGAAATCACAGAATGATTTAATAATCTTTCCCTCCAGATTATTTGGAAAACATTATGTGCGAAACACTTCACCATCGTTGAAGTACTGTTGCTACTGTTGCAGCCAGCAGCACGTCTGCAGCAGCTGAAGGCTGCAGAGTGCTGAAAACTGTTGTCAGTTAAAAATGGGGAGGGAATAGAAATGGGTTGAGTATCTTCTAAGCCTGGCTCCCCAGCCAGACCTACCTTTTGGATTTTTAAATCAGTTATTGCAATGACTGAACATCCTAAACTAACTTTTGGGTAGTAAAATGCATGCAATTTGTATTAGCTAAAACTGAGTCCTTACACCTTTCCCACCAGAAATCAGCAATGGACCCCTTACCACCATAATGAGGCATTTTTAGGACGAACTCCAAGGAAGAAACATAACTTTGGAAGTATTATGCCACTTTCTGCAGTGTCTGGCTTTTCCTAGGAATGTCTATCCAAGAGTAGGACACAAATATACCTACTTCATTCCTGGGATGTGACAAGGCTTGAGCGCAGTCTCTGCATACTCATCCTTGTTCTTGTCAGATGGGGTGTCTGTACTGAAAATGAGTAATGAGAAAAACACTGGACTGCAGAGACTGCCAGGATCTCTCAAGCTTTGTCTTATAAACAAATTTGAAATAAAATAATGTAATGAACTCATTTCCTTTATGTAAAATAACCATGCAGACATTCACTTAAAAAAAAAAAAGCTTAAACACAGTTATCCCCTTTCTCTCCAGTGATAATTTTCTACAGCAAAAGGAATCAAGTAATCTTGAGCTTTTCGTTCTGCTACCTTCAGTAATACTGCTAGTGGAAAATGGCAATGGGCCCTGTTCATAGTATGGTAATAATAGGCATTGTGATGCCCTACTCTTACCCGCTTGTGCCAGCTACTGGTCACTATTGATTCCTTCCACAGTTTTTTCCTAACTGCTCGGTGTGTTGTTGATCTTGCCTTTCACCGCCTTAAACAATTTTCCTTTTTTTTTTTTTTTTTTTTTTGGGGTGGGGTGGGGGGAGGAGTACAAGGTTTTGTAAAAAAAGTAACCCAAACAATTACTGAAAAGAAAGCGCCACTGTTTGTCTTTTATCAGGGCAACATTCTGCTTCAATTTCTGCTTCCTTTGCTGTCTGAGCCACTTGAAAGCTTCTGGCTGTAACTTCTAAATGGACACAAAACAACATTGCACCATAAGGAATGTGTACATTCACAAATAATTGTGCATGTTTATTTTAGGATGTGTTTTATGTTGGAGGGAGTCACACCCACCTTGTGCTTAAAAGGAAACTCTTGGGGAATAGGAATTTCTTTAGCCTGCTCCTCCCCTTATTGTTCAATGCTTCCTTCTACTGACAAGGACCGCTTCCTCTCCTTACCCACCTTCCTTCAGACAAACCTGCATTTCAGCATGGTTTCATTCCTGCCATGGCCCATATGAAATTACATTACTCTCCTCCCCTCCAAGTTTCTAAGCAGTGAACAGTAGCCTAGCAGCTCTCCTGGAATAGCAATCAACCCATACAGCCTTCACTGTTCAAGTGTTTCTTTGAAATAATAAACATTTTGTAGTGGGGTATTGCCTGAAACACTGCAGCTACCCACTTTCAAATATTCTCCAGCTTTAGGAATTAGCCTAGTATTTAATTAAGGCTTATTAGGGACCATATCTACCACTACCCCCAATCAAGCAGCTGGTTTTGGGGTGAAGACCTGAATAAACACTGAGGTTTCACATTTGCAGGGATATTTGTAGACATGTCCCAGGCCTGTGGTCTTTGATGGTGGCCCAAGAAATTACTTAGCTCCACAGTGCAGATACTAGTTCCAGCCTTGGCTGGTGCCACAATCTAGTTCAGGCATCTCTTCAAATGCTGCAAGTAGCTTTTTCTGACCAATGAACTTTTGTGGACCTGTGTTTTCTTCATGCCTTTGGCATTAATTCAACTTTGACATATGTTAATATGGGAGAGACGCTGAAGACAGAAACGCACTGCATAGTTCAGGGATCTGCAGAGCTTTCAGATGAAAGTGACAATGCAGGTGGAGGGACCACATTGCAACAGTGGGATAAGACTGCACCAAACCTAGAATGCCAGTGGAAACCAATGCACACAAGTCCTGTCTGTCATTGCTTCTGCCCAGGAAGAAGGGATTGAAATCCACAGATGGAAAGTGCCTTAGAAACAGGATGTAGAGGGAGAATATCCAGACAAGGGCATCAGAAAGTCTCATTCAGCTTTAATCAGGAGCTGTGTAATTCACTCAGTTATATCAGAATAAAGTTAAAACTTGTCTTCTGGAAAGCTTTGGTCTGAAGTCAGCAAAAGGTGGACTATGTACCTTAGTATCATCCTTATCTTATTCCTATAATGAATTGCTCATTTTTAAAATAAAGCCCTTAGCTCCAGTTAGTGCTGCCTGGCTTCTCTCTCCAGCTCCTATCTCCAGCATTTCTTATTGTTTCTTCCACTGGGTTAAAGACCCTTTTATTATTCAGTATTTCTCTAGGGAAGACATATACTTCCCTACAGCTATGTCTTGGTACATTCTTTTTGGTAAACAGAACAAATGAACTCATTAAATCTTTGCAGTTGGACAACTTCGCCTTTCCTGAAGTCTCTTCTTTTGGATTTTTTCTGAACCTTTTCCAATTTGCCAATAGCCCCTATAAAATACATGGGGCAGACCTACGGGAAGAATTCCACTGATGATGCT